AACAAAGGGCATCGCTACTACGAACAAGAAGCTACTAGTAGCTCCTGACATTACTACTAGGAGCAAGAAGCTACTAGTAACAAAGGGCATTACTACTAGGAGCAAATAGCTACTAGTAACCAGAAGCTAATCAGTAACGACTATGTAGAGGATACAGAACTTGGGTGTTGATTGGATCGTAATAGAGAGACCTCCTGACCCTGGCTGGGTAGACTGGTCCATATGTTCTTGCAGAACTGAAGCAGGAGGGTCGTTGCCCGGGAGGTCTCTCCTATTTTCATCCACACCGGACTTGGATCAACCAGGGCTCCACGGTGCCTCTCACGAATTTCACTTCGGACAGGATGTCTGCTTTTTGAGTCCTTTTTCCTGAACCCTTTAGTAAGGTGGTTCTGTGAGGTGCTTTTGCGGGTTTTTGGTCTAGCACCTTTTGACATTGTGCTTTTGTTGGTTCACCAGTTCATTTTTGGAGGTCCGTGGTGTTTTTGTTTGCTTTGTCCACGCTGCCGAAGTCCTGGCCTGATGTTTAATGTTTTTCTTTCTGCACGTGGCGAGCGGACGTGGCGAGCGGTCCCTTTGAGTCCATGGAGTCCTGTCAAGTTCATCTACCGAGCCATTTCTCCATATGATCCAGAACCTGAGTGACCTCTATGTTGGATCAGAATCACCCACCCAGTAAAAGGGTCGTCACATGGGCTCTAGCTGTATAATGGTGTATAACATGTTGTATATTACTGTAGATAACAATGGATTAATATAACAATGGATTACTGTATATGACAAGTATATTGTTGTATATTACTGTATATTACTCTGCAAACCATTTCATCTACTTGTGGGCCAGATTCAACTTACCCAGACTCGGAACCGTCCACTGGTCACAGGAATCCGCCAAGCCAGCCGAAAAACTTCCTTCCTACTTCATTTTGGCTTGAAAAGTGGTTCACGTGCGTGGTTACAAGGATGATAACGACATATAAAGACCTATACTCTACAGGTCAAAGACCTCATTTTCCTGCAGTTGATCATACAAAACATACAAAAACACTACTCAATGAAGTAAAAGATCCGGCTTTGCTGGGTCGGACTGGACCTGTAGGGATCCGAGCTACAACCGCCCTGATTGCTCTCAGTATCACCAGGGTCTTGAGCCATACCAAACCACCCAGTTTGCATGTGTCGCGAAATGGAATGATTACCCCTGCATCGGCTTGGGCGTTGCCTTAAGAGGAACCGGTCATTTTCGGCCACAAAGCATGCGATGATAGCATGCACCGCACCACAACGCTGACACCGGTTGCCTCATCGCGGAAGGCGTGTACATGGCAGTCTTGGGCGCATACCTTGCTGAGATGTGGATGGACCCGGGTCCAGTCGAATGGGATAGAGCCCTTTGATGGTGTCTCGGGTCCAGTAGAGCCCCGCAAGATGGTGTGAATCCCTCCGGAACCTCCTCGAGGATTGCTGAATGTTGCTGATCTTGCTTTGAATCCCGTGTGTTTCTTTGGAAGTGTTCTGGAAATAGGACAAACAGAACCATCAGAGTGCTCAATTCCATGGAATAAGAAATGGATCGATTGAACAGATTCGAAAGGTTATATATATATATGATATGATCTGGGATGATCTCTGGGATTTAACACGGAACACGCAAAATCTGTCTTCCTCATGTTGCGGATCTTCACCATGTTGGGATGCATGGTAAAAACATATTTAACGGTGAACATCTTTCTTCCTCATGTTGATGCTCAAAATATTTCCACTGCGGATCTTCACCATCAGTTGCGGGCTGACGTCCTACCTTCGACGAAGGCCTCGTTCGACTCGGTCGACGAAGTCATGGCTGGGCGAGGTTTTGCCCCCCCAAACCACCAGCATTGGACGTGTGAATCGACTCAATCTGGGCATTTTGATAAGTTCGGATTGGTTGAAACCATATCCACAAAAGAACAACCATTGGCTGGGAGAAGAAAAGAACAACTCCAAAGGTCTAAAGGTCCAATCAAAAGAAAAACAATAACAGGAACACAGTGTTCATATCAACCTCGACATGACGATGGTTCCTTTTGAGAGCTCCTTCCGACCCTTTACGGCCAAATAGGTTCCTGCGGTCGGCTCGGCACCCCAACACACTTCCCGGCGTCTTGGCCGGAGTATATCTCCCACCTGGACAAGGAGGGATCGGACGCTACGAACGGGGCTCCAGGCCTTACTAGGAACAAGAAACTACGTACCAGTAGTAAAGGGCATGTCTACTAGGAGCGTCCGGACGCTACTAGTCTCCCTCCTGGACAGTCGCTGGAGATGGAGAGCAGGTCACCATCCGTGAGAGCATACTCCCGCAAACAAGGTATGCTGGCAGGAGTCTACAAAGCCTAGGCAAAAGAGAAAGTCTTGCTGGGGAAAGGTGGGTGGTCCACTTCTCAAAAGTCCTTCGATGTGGAAGTGATCATGCAATATCATGCACTCGCAACATCTCACAAACAACCCATGGACCATTTTCAGCTACCTACTGGTAAACATCGGTACAATTCGGTCTACCGGTTCCAGTCCTTTGATCGTCCCTGTTCCGGGAGACCACCCGAGCGTCGCTCTCAGTCCCCCTGCTCGCCATGGACTGGCCCGTCTTCGGTGCGCTGCGGCTGTACACCGAGGCCCTGGGTGCGCTGAGCTGCCATCGCACACTCAATCGCTGCCATCGAACGGGGGGTCGATGCATCATGTGCATCTATATTCAGAATCTACAGTCTATATATATATAATATATATATATAGACATATGTCTACATGTTTACCTGGATTCTCAGATTGATCTGGCCACATTTGCGACTTTCTCTGATGTTTTGGTTCTTGCAAGGAAAACTATGGTGTCATTCTGTCTTGGGTAGCGCGTGGCTTTGGTCAAGAGTAAGGAAATGATCTAGCCATCAAGTGTTGCAAATCATCAGGTTGTCAAACTCGTACCCCTTTCTAGGAGTCTCACTCGTTCCAACAAAGGCTCCACACCCTTGGTGTGTCTCTAGCAGAAAGGCACCACCAGTATCTCACACCCCGACACCTCGTCCTTTCACACCTCGACCGTCCACAACAAATTGCGGCCGACATCAACCTCAGGACATAAAACATATATATATATAATATATTATATGCCGAACAAATTCCCCAAAGATCCTCCAAAACATCCTCAATTGGCCCTATGTTGTTGTTGTTGTTGTTGTTGTTGTTGTTGTTGTTCATCCACCAGACTACACATGTTTGGACCACATGCTTACACATGCTCACTCCCTATCAATGGCTGACCAAACATGCAGCTTACACCCGTCGGATCTGGCTGCGGACCACACATCACCCAAGTGACTTAGCTCCGGACCCTGGGGAGTAGTCGAACTCATCCATGTCCTCCGTCAGACCGGGCGCCCTTCTGGTGAACACGTGGCTAGCAGTCAGGAACAGAATCTGCTGGCTATACTATATAGATCTCGATAGAATACATATTTACATACAGTATATAAAGTGCCACATCGAAACTGGCCATGTGATCCAATTCTTCCAAAGTTGCTTCACTGACATCCCTTGGACGAGTCGAGGAAGTGGGTAAGGAAAAAACAAACACATGCCCAGAATTCTATTCCTCAACAGCTCAGCCTGACCGCCAGTCCTTGTCATCCTCTTCCTTCTTGTTAGCCTAAGGCCGGAGCGGACACCAAATCATCGCCGGTTTACTTCGTTGAGGGTCGACTTCCTGGCGCTGTTCTCTCATTCTGTGCCTCTCCCTGTATGGTGGCACGGGTCTTCCAGGTCTCACTCCCAAAACGCCCCGTCTCCAAGGAGAAAATCACCACGATGTTGGTGTCCAGAACATGTTACAATCTTGGACTTTGGAATATTCATGACTTCTCTATCATGTTTAATTTGTTTGGGGGGGCCTTGCAGGAGATATCTCCATGAACTATCCACCCAACAAGTGCCCCCCTTGGGGTCCGGAGCTCAGACGTGTTTTGAAAAAGCCTGGAACAGGATCATTGCCCTCTGATGGATTAACCACTTGTTTTCCCTCATTTTCTCCATGCAGTTGCATCTTGTCCTGCCCTGTCGGAACTCTCCCCCGGTCGCCCTCCGGGACGTCCGGCCGGAGAGTACAATGGGCTGATGGTGCTCGCCACCGAGTACTCGAAGGGCGTGAGGTCCGACGCGTGAGGAGTGTACCTCCGCGATGGCGATCGGCGACACCCAGCCCACCCGAGAAAGAGGAAAAGTCTTCCCAACCCCGGACCCTGCTTGCAAGTGCCCCCAATGCATTGGATTTAAGAGGAAGGATAATGAAGACATGTGCGACTTTTTGCGGATGCTTCATGGGTGCAAACAAACACGACCTTCCCAAATAAACTGGAACTGAACCACCCAAATGGTTTGCAGTCGCTTCAAAGGCGGCACAAAACACTTCCAGAGCTGGCTCAAGAATGCGCGCGGCATCCCCTTTCCAGCTATCTCAGTTCAGGTTTGTGCCATCTGCTCAAGTCGTCAAATGAACAATTCACATCAATCCACCACGATTTGCTAGGGCTCCTAAACAAAATGCTTGTTGATGGAGTGCCATGCAGGGCCTTACAAGTAGAGAAGCAACCAACAAACTTAACCAACATGCCCTTTCGGAAGGGGAGCTTCAAGTTCAAGGATCATTCTGACATATTCCATATTCTGATCATGCCTTAGATCCCTGCAATCATTTGTGAGTGTTTGGCACTACTTGGCGGTGGTAAGTCACTCGTGCTCGTGTGAAGTCATCCATCCCCCAGGGGCAACACAATCGAGAGACGTCACTAATTCGCTTGAGAAGTCACCCTTTATTGCCCAATCCCAATGGGACACCATCTCCAACATCTTCAACTACCTTCTGCAAAAACCATCAAAACCGTCATTTCCACACAAAATGCTTGCGGACACCACAGCAAGAAGCTGGAATTGCATGAGTGTTGAACTCTGATCTAGGTTAGGAAGAAATGGGACGCCGACTTACAGTGCTACTTTCTACCAGAAGCTCCGGCAACCTTCCTAGACCGAGAACCGAAGCACCATGGGACACTGACACTCACCCAGTCATCTTCCCCCTCATCGTTTAGAATGTGCGCAAGCGGCGCAACCCCTTTTTCTGAAAGCCCATCATCAGCCGCGTGCCTAAACAAACCGAGATTCGACAGTGCTCGGTGGCCATTGGCACAGTGCCTGAAACTATATATAGTCTCTCTCCATCTCTCTCTTCTTTCTGATATACAATATATATCTGTGTCATGTCCACTTCTCTTCGACGAATTTGACCTCATGTTTCCAAATAAACTGAAAATAACTGAACCGAAAGGCTTTCAATTGACAATTGACTTCTCATCCTGCGCTCTCCTCAGATCCTCCACTTCTCTCGGCCACCAAAAAGAACTGTCTCAAAACATCCGTCACTTCTGACTTCGCAAATCTGGGGACAACCCAAGGTGTCCCTCCACGCCATCGGGCATTTCTATGCATTTCTTCTTGCTTGGCATAAAGGACAACCAAGTCATCACAACTGATCACATTTGGGTTGGGATTGAATGTCACCTGCATGTATAGAACCTGCACCAGGTGACAGGTGAAACCAATCAAATCAAAAAGGAATGTAACAAACCTCAATCACCTATCGTAGCCTTGCCTTTGGCTGTAACTTGTGCGGGATCACAAGAGCAAATTAAGCAGCACAAGAGGAAGTTCAGTCCACTTGCCTTTGGGAACGCCTGTTGTCATGTGAGCGATTTGCAAACCATTCTACCAGTCACAAAATAAAGCAGTGCGTACAAAGACACCCCCTTCAAAGCAATGATCGGATTCTCAACGATTTGCCCATTCGATCAGAGATGCAAAGATCTGATATGTCTGAGACATCACGAAAACATGTCTGAGACACATCTGTTCAACTATGTTCAATTTGTTGTTGGTGGGAACACGTTTGTTCTTATTGTTCTTGTCACACCCACTGTTCTTTTTTGTATTTATAAGTTGTTGTTTTTTTCCCGCGGAAAAAAAAGGAGTTTTGTGGGAACATCGGTTCAATCTTCTTTCCATTTGATGTTCAACTGTGTTTTGCTTCAAGAACCTCTCCACCGCTCCGTCGCGAAGTGATAGACCCAGCGCTTTCCCCAAACGGACCAACCAAGCGCTTTCCCCGTTCTGTCCCGCATGGGTCCGGGAATCGAACCGTTTGGGCGAACGGATGGCGCGGTGGTACCGGCACCGTGATTGGAGACTAGGCTGTCATGTAGGCGCCGACCGGGTCGGGCCCAGTTACTAGTAGTAAGGCACTTCTTCCTAGTAGCGAACCTTGTTACTACTAGTAAGGCACTTGTTACTAGGAGCGATGCACTTGTTCCTAGTAGCTTCTTTTTAATCTTTTTTCAATTGAGCCTTTGGTCAAACATCTAGATCTGAGCGGATTCGGTGTTCACCCTCGCTTTGAGCCTCTAGGCATGAGAGCGCTCCGGAATTGACTTCGTCAAAACATGACGTGTAAGCATTGTAAATATATTCTGGCTATATTGTATTTATAATTAATCTATATGTCAAGAAGGGCCGAACTGGATATTTGATTTACTGTAGTATATCCCTCACTTCAATCCTCCACTGCAAGTTGATTTACAGTATGATTTGTTCCTTCTTTGATCCTCACAAGACGCTGGGCTTGACACCACTAAGTCCAGACACCAAACATTATGTCCTTGATTTATATTCGCCCGTCGCATGGCGTCAAAGTGGTGATTCGCCCGTGCCGCAGCCATGGCAGAACACGCTGCAGTTGCGCCCCGTTCGTGGGCGCACTGCAGTTGCGCCCGGTCGAGGGTCCGGAAATGTATTGAAACACATCCAGAACGGGTCACTTCGAGATCTTAGAGGGATAACAATTCTTTTCTGGGCTGTTAGCATCTAGAGATTCAGTCCTCTAAAGTCTTGGGGTCTTTACTGTCTTAGCTCACCGTACGATACCGTAGTTGGGTCTCCAGCGGTGAGACATCCGACGTCCGTGGAGTTCGACAAGTGAGGATACGATGTGGGAACCTGATGCCTGCGAATGCGATCCGACTTTTGGTTGTTTTGGAAGATATCAATGAAGCGGAGTCTAGTCTACACGTTTTATTTTACTTTTTTCAGATACTCTCATGCACGCAAAAGAGGAATTCCACCGATTGCCCAAGATTTTGACGTGACTCTTGCTGACTGTTTTCAATACCAATTAACATTAAACATCATGGAATCCATGGCTCATCCATACCAATGCAAACAAGTTGGACCCTGGATGAGTGTTAAACAAATCGATTCTATAATTTGTCTAGCGCATGCGCAACCATGATTCAACTACAGCACTTCATTATAAGACTAAGAATTCATGCACACCCAAATACAGCACACCATCGTTCGTACGAGCAACACATCGATCAGATGATTTTGCTTCACCGACCGCCCACACCGATCAGGCCACCGACCGGAAGGGGGGGGTCCAACGACCGCTCGTTTCGGGGCGGATCTCGTTCACCGAGGATCCCGTCCCGACTGTCCCGGACCATCACCAGCATCAAGGGCGCTAGATTGCGTGACGCGCCATACTCTATAAGTTGTATCAACCTCTTTGTGTAAACGTAGACCAAACGGTCATGTAACCTTGGTCTTTGTTAGTGAATCAAAAACACAAAACAGTGTACTATTCGTTAAACGTGATGGAGCTACTCTGTTTATTTTGTGCGGCGGCATTTATTTGGTACTAAACCTCCTATTCACTATCTATTATGTGGGGGTCCTATCTCGTTTAGACCACTCAAGTAAGAGGTCATGTCACAGTATCTCGTTCAGACTAATTTAGTAGCAAATCACACTATCTCGTTCAGACTACTTTAGTGTCACTATGCGTATATCTTAAGTATTTTTAAGTGCTGTTGGAGCCCTCATTCGGTGAAACCCAAATGACCTAAATTCATGACATTAGCCAAGCCCGAATAACTCATGATAAAACTCCTTCCAACCGCTCGCCGTGCACAGCCTGGCCCGCGGCGCTGCGGAGAACCAGCTCAGTTGCTATAGAAGACCTCCGCCGCGAGCGGCGAGGTCAAACGGCGCCGTTCGGGGCTCGGGCGGTTCGTTTGGGTCGCCTCGGCGGTTGGAGTCCGGAGTCCCCGAGTCGTTCTCAAGCAACATGCAGCATTCGTCCATCATTGATGCCTCCTAAAAAGATCATGTCTATAAACTGGTATGAGGGGGGAGCAAGGTCACTTCTTGCAGTTGTCCAATCTGAAAAGCAACGAACTTGGGAGCCCATCCAGTTGCCGAATCCAGATCCCTTGGATGGATAACTGATGACACCTTCATCCCCGGTGAAAACCCCCAACTTCGGGGGAAAACCGGGGACCGTAGTTCCGATTTCTAAGACTGCACCGTTATCTGCAGACCGTCGCAAAGACCGCTGCGGCCTTGGCCGGCAGTGAGGCTAAGAAGCGATCGCGCTCGAACTCGGCGTTGCGGCCTGAGGCAGTTCTGCCGTGGCATGCCGTCCCGGAGGGATCGTTTCTTTTCGTGGCAAAGTGCGGAGTTTGGGTGCGGAGTGCGGGGAACCCAAAGGAAGGCGGAGTTTGAGAACGTGTTTGGAGCTTCATGTCTTAATTACATGTCTTTCATAATGTGTAAACTAATAATTCTAAACGATATCGGATGAGAAGAGTGAGTCAGAGTTGCGGGAGATTCACACCGTCTTTCAACGCCTAAGGTGCTTTCCTGGACCTCACTGGTCGCAGCAAGTGTCACACCAAATTTTTGAAGGCTCCGAGAATGTGTGGCCAAGAATCTTTCATCGATGTGATGATCTTAGATGATCTTAGATGATCTTGGATCTGCGTCCCCAATCCAAAACAGTTTCAAGGAAATGGGTTGCTTACGGTTGCTTGAGCAATTCATTGCTCTGAATGGAACCTTCTTAGACGTGGAGTTGGGGTTCATACTCCATGTTTTAAGGGACAATCCATCCATTTCGGAATATGTACTTAACCAACACTCCAGCCAACGTGCCCAGCTAAGCACCCCTAAAACATTAGTACGACTCAAGGACCATCGGCTCCGGTCCATCCCGCGGCCCCATCCACGCCTGTCAACACATCCCCAATCACGCGACCTGCGGTTGCACCGACATGCACGGCTACAAC